GCCAGCCTGAACTACATAGTGAGACCCTGTCTCCAAAGAAAATTTAAATAAATACAGAAAACAGAAGTCAGGACACAGCATGCTCTAGCTGGAACCTTCGCCGTGACTCAGCTTCCCCCAAAACTTCATTGCAGTTTTGCAAAGTATGAGCAGTTACTAAGGCTTATAACACTTGACAAAACTTTCTTTACTTGCCACTTAGTGTCATGTGATATTTATACATTTTGATTCATTTTCTGTACTGGAGTGTGTTCCTTTATATGAATGGACTGTAGTGTATTATTCAGGTCTCTAAGTGAGCACCTACTCCCATTTAGGTTGTTTCCAATTTTCTAGTATTACATATAAATCTGTTATCAACATTCTTGTAGTTATCTCTTGAGTAAGCTTGGCATTTCTAAGACGTAGTATACATGAATCTTCAAGTTTGCTATATATTACCTGTTATCACTTATTTATATTTGTTCTTCATATTTACTGTTAAAGTACATGTAGCACGTGCTCACTTCAGCAGCACATATACTAAAGTACATGTAGCTGGCTGTTAATAAACTATGAAGTACGTTATGATAAACATTAACTTATGTACATGGAGATGTATGAAGAAGAAATAAATGACAGTCACCATTTTATTGTTAATACAAAATTTAGTATTGTGTTTACCTTAAAATGTACTTCACCAAATTTTTTTCAAAATGCTCATTGTAAAAGTAGTAAATTTACTCACTTTATAGAATGATGCCATCAGTGACTGTTTATTGATGAACTGCTATGCACTCATACTTTGCTGGGTGTTGGGAATGGAAATAGAGCAGTAAACACGGTATTCAATGTCACAGAGTGGACAAAAATGAGCAGTTAACAAACACAATAAAATCAATAACCTCATTTTTATTTTTCTCTGTTGTGAATGATGTTCATTTTGACACAGTGTTGTAATGCTCATTCTTACCTGGTTTTGGCTTGTCAGATCCCTAAGGTCAGATAGTAACAGTTATTTATATACCAAGTGTTTTTCATAGTGCCTGAGAATATAATGGCAAATAATCTACTGCATTCTCAGAGTAATTCTGCATTGGAAGTTTTTAATAGAAATTGTTGCTGAAGGATAAGTATAGAATGAAGAGAAGTTGCTGATCACAAACAGCTCTCCCAGGTACTCTCACTAAATCCCTGCTTGATGAAATGCTACCCAGTAGTGGTGATTATACCAGTTGCATTGGAAAAGTGAGATTGATTATATTAATAACAATGCTGCACCAGTCCCCAGGGCTGCAGAACATCTCGGAGAGTCAACTGTAAAGCAAAGGGAGACCTTTGGGCGCCCCGGCTGGCTCACCTGTCTCTCCACTGTAATCAGTCTTTAATTGACTGCTTCTCCTCAAAGGCAGAGAACCCTAGAGATGGCTCTATTTTGTGAATTATTATGAAACTTCCTTGAAACTTTTTAATAGCTGCATACACTTCAAGAACATGTTAATAAGTTCTCCAAGAGTGGATCCCTGTGGACAGGAGAAGACAGGATCATCATTATCAGTAGCACTGTTCTTATAATCACTATAATGAGATCTCCAGGGTTCCTGTCCTTTTAACATCTATAGAGAATACAGAAGTTGAAAAGTGCCCTCCTGCCTGCTCTGGTCTTAAGTAATACCCATTGACCTCATTATCCAGATTCCCCTAAGGTTTTCCAGCTATCCAGAGGAAATCACATGAGTAGTGTAGCTGTATTTCAGTTATACCAGAAAGCAAAAATGGCCTAAGAAAAACTACTGTTTATCAGTAAATTCAAACATTTCTCAGTCTTCAGTTTTTCTAACTTACAGTTTCATGTTTCCTTTCTCATCTCCTTCAGAACATGACTGTCAGGGTTAAGAGACTCACTATTCAATGAACTATTAAGGTGATTATACTTTCATTTCAGGAAGACCAGAAAACAAGGGGGGGAAATGTCACTCAAATTGCTGCATTTTTATTTCTATCACTTAGATTTACTAACTTTCGGCTCATATAAACATTACAAGATATTTAAAGGTAGAACAACATGCTGTTTTAGCTGGCCTTCTTCTAAACTTATACCATTATCTTCAAAATGTCAAGACAAAAATGTTAAACTAATTCATCAACAGTAGTTTGTGTACTTTGGGTAGTGTAGCGTTTACAGGTTGCCTTTGAAACCAACAAAGACAAAGTGAAGTTTAATTTGGAGAGAAGGTGCAAATAACTCATGGAAACTACCATTTTGCCAAAAGAATTGTGATCAATACTCAGTTCTACAAACAGCTTTTCTGACTTGATGATGAAAACATTTTCCTCTATTTGTCAATCTGCGAAAGAAGGGATTCACTCCTTTCTGCAGAATTTCTAGGTGTTGTGAGGAAATGATGGAATGATTAATGTAGCTATGTGGCTATAGGAATACAATCAGAGCCCGGGCAGCTGGGGCACAATGGATCCAGTGATCCTCCATCACACTCCAAGGGCTCAGGCTCCACGGCTTGTCCAGGAGACTGGACGCAGTGATTTTTTTATTGTAACAATGATGTGGGGTCTGTGTAAGGTTAACACTGCTCTGTGCCCAAACCTAAGGTTAACTTTGAGTTAAATTATTTTTATTTAATTCCAAACATTTATTTAAATATTAAAGAAACATGTAACCACAGTATATATTTTAAATTGGTATGGTTACATGTCAGCATTTTAAAGATTTTTGAAAGAATACAAAACAGAAAATGAAAATCTGCTTCTTTCAAACTCCAATGGTTTTTGCACATTTACATAAACCATTGGACTTTAGAAATGGGGATGCACAGTATGTGAAATTCTAAAACTTTGTTTTAAATTTTTAACATATCTAATCA